AATGAAAATAAATATAAATTGAAAATAGATATAAATGATATAATAATAGAGAAAAGTATAAAAGATAAATTTAATATTAATATAAAACAGAATAAATATAAAATGAAAATAGATATAAATGATAATAATATAAAAATGATAAAGATGAATAAACATATACATCTAAATAGAAAAGAATAACAATAAGAAAATCTAAATAATATAAACATAAAAATAATAAAATAAGAAGAAGGTACTAATATATAGATAATAAGAATAACACAATGATATAAATAATATAAACAGAGAAATAAATATAAATATAAATATATAAAAATACGATAGATAAATAACATATAAACAAAAGAATAAATATGAATATGATTCATCAAATAATCTACTTCATTAATATTTCATACAAAATATAAATGATCATAAAATATAAACATAAATATTTACATATTCTGTATTTATCATATTTTTTTTATTTTTTTTTTATTTTAGGAGCAAAATATAATAAATGGAAAATTCTATGGATGCAAATTTTTTTTCATCTTTTTTCTTTTTTGTAAATTATTTAGATGCATTTTTTCTTTGCTAATTTTCGTACCCAGATGAAATAAAAAAATATGAAAAAGATAAATAATATAGAGTAAGAAGAACAATATAAATAATACAAAACAATCAATATGATAAAGAAAAATAAAAGAAACCGAGAAACATAAATGCATTGATAATAAATACATACCAATGATGATAATAACAATAATAACAATGGTTATGAAAATGAAAGAAACTACAATAATGCAAAATAAAGAATACAGAATAAGAAGAAATGAATATAAAGAAAGGATAATGTATTTAAATAAAATAAAGACATAGAATAATAATTGAAAGAAATTAGTTATAATTAATTAGTTAAATATAATAGAGGTTATTGAAAAAAATAAAGAAAAATAGACTAAAGAAAATAGGGTATGATAAAACAAATCAATAATCATTTCAATAAACCTGTAAGTAATTGAAGAGAGTATTAAATTAATAAATGAATTAAAAATGAAAATAACAAGACAAAAGATGTTAGAAACGTTGTAATTAAAAACCTAATGTATGTTCATAGAACATTATTTTCTCCTACACTTAAATATATTCATTTGAATTTATAGTAAGAATGTGATGTAATGTGAATATTCTCTACAATGCACTTAATAATAGACAAGAGTTTTATTAATACTTCATTAACTATTTTTATATACAGATGAATAATAATTATTAAAAAGACAAAAAAATTAAATGGTTTTACAATGAAAAGTTTATAGAAATGTAATTTATTGTTTAAAATTGGATTTTTTCATAGAAAAGTTATAATAGAAATAAAAGATACTATTTTCAATATAGTAGATATTTTTCTCTTTGTATAAAACTCAAATTTGAATTGTAATAAATAAAAACTATTTGATAAAAAAAGAGAAGTGTATAAATATTTAAGAATGAATAAAATAACAAAAGAGTAGTTTTAATATAAAAGCATTAAGTAAATTTTAAAAGACAATGAAATTAAAGTATAAGAAAAAGAAATAAAAAATTTTGATATAAATACCATTAAAAAAAATAACAAAATAACAATTAACGTTTTTAATAACATTTAAATAATAAAATAAAAAATGTTTTTTATTTTTAAACTGAAAAAAGGTAATCTTAAAGATGTCAGAAGACACAACATATTCATTTTATGAATACCTATTACATAGCCATGGATATCCATCTGATTTAGAAACAATTTTAAAAGAGTCAGAAGAGATAATAGATCAAATTATTAAATTAACAGAAGAATTTGTAAAAGAATTTTTACATGAAAGTATAACATCATTACCACCACAAAAACCTAAACGATTGCAGATGCTACAGTCTGTAGTAAAAAATGATTATATTACATATCGTGTGATTGGACATGTTCATTCAATATTTTCAGAATTAAATGGAACTCCAAGACAAGGACTTTTGTCTCCAACAACACGAGCATATATTGAATTTGAAAAATGGGTAATACCAGAAGTAGCAGTGAAAGGAATAGAAGAATATTCCCATTTAATTATTTTATTTAAATTTCATTTAAATAAGAATCATGCTTATCACCCATTAGTCCATCCACCTAAACGAGGGAAAAAAACATCAGTTTTTACAACAAGATCACCACATAGACCAAATAATATTGGATTAACTGTTTCATTAATTGATAAATTTGAGAATAATAAATTATATCTAAAAGGAATAGATCTTGTAGAAGGAACACCAATTATTGATATTAAACCATATATTTTTGCAGATTCTATACCAATAGAACAAATCAAACAACCAGAATGGTTGTGTCGTTCATCTCATGCAGAAAAAATTAATGTTGAAATTGATGAAAAAGTAATACCAAAAATGAAAGAATTAATTAATAAGTTAGAGTTTTATAAAAGTATTGAAGAATATATTGAAGTTATAAAAGAAGTATTATCACTTGATATTAGAAGTGTTCATATGCAATCAAAACATGAAATTAAAAGATATGGAGTTTTAATAGATAAAACAAATATTATATTTTGTTATGAAGAGAAAGGGATAAGAGTAATTGATATTGAATATATAGAATGTCCTGGTAAATATTCTAAAATAAAGAAATAATTGAATTAAATTTAAAACCTCAATTTAAAATAAAAAAGAAAATAAAAAGAAAATAAAACTAATTAAAATAAATAATGAAAATAAAAAGATTAGACCAAACTACTATTAATAAAATTGGTGCTGGAGAAGTTATTCAAAGACCGTTTAATGTAGTCAAAGAATTAATTGAAAATTCTATTGATGCACATTGTTCATCTATTATTATAAGTATTGGAAAAGGAGGATTAGAAAGTATTGTTGTAACAGATGATGGATGTGGTATTTCACTTGAAGACTTAAAAGTATTAGGAGGAAGATATACAACAAGTAAAAGTATTGAAGGAGATACATATGGATATCGAGGAGAAGCATTGTCATGTATGACATATGTTGGTAAAGTGACTATTATAAGTAGAACTGCTACAAGTGAAATTGGTTATAAAGTTGTATTTCAAAATGGACAAATAACAGAAAATCCAATTCCTCTTGCTTGTAGTATAGGAACAACTGTAATTGTTAATAATTTATTTGATAAAATGTTAAGAAAAAAATCAATGAAAGAAACAGAAGAATATAAAAAAATCATTTCGATAATTGGGGACTATGCAATTCATAAAGCAACCATTGCATTTACACTTAGAAAAGCAGGAACATCAGTATGTGAAATTAAAACAGAAAAACATTCAACAATACTAAAGAATATAAGTAAAATCTTCACAACAAATATTTCAAATAATCTTCAACAATATTCTTATCAATGTTTAGAACCACCATTTCAAATGATATGTTATTTAAGTAATTCAATATTTCAAGGTAAAAAAAATAAAATGATATTTTTTGTTAATGATAGATTTATCGAACACATTGGACTTAAAAAAGTTATTGAAAGAATTTATGATGAATATTTACCTAAAGTCAATTATTTTGTTTATTTGTCTATTAATGTTAATAAAGAAAGAATTGATTGTAATGTTAATCCAAGTAAAACTGCTATAAGACTATTAGAAGAAGAAAAATTAATTAATCAAATAGATAAATTTCTTAATTCAATTATCATTGAATTCTCTCAAACAAGAAGTTTTCCTCCTTCTCAAATTAAAACACAACCAATGCCAAATATTCAACAAGAAAAATATTTTAATAGAGTTGATTCTACTTCTACTTCATTACTTTCTTATATTGATGATGATAGAAAAAAGGTATTACAAAATACAAGGTCTCAATATTCAATTGGAAAATCAACTTGTAATAATGAAGAAATACAAATTGAACATAACGAAGAAATTAAATCTCCTTTTAAAATACAAAGAAAAAAAGAAAAAGAAAATGAAGAAGAAGAGGAAAATGAGTTAAATAGAAATGTTTTAAAAGAAGAAAGTAATGAAACATCAACAAAAGTACCAAAACAACCAGAAAGTTTAAAACATAATACTTCACTCAAAAAAATCACAAAGAAAGAAAAAGAGAATAATAAAATTCATATTGAAGTTATAAAAAGAAGACCAAATAAATTTAAAGAAGACTTTTTACCAAGTTTAACCAAATTAAGAAATGAATTTGAAAAAGAAAATGTTAATATTGATATGATTCCAATATTAAATGAAAGTACATTAGTTGGAATGATTGATACATCATATGGAATAATTCAATCTAGTACAACTATGTTTTTAATTCATATTCCTACTATTATTCAAGACCTTGTTTATCAACAAGTTATTTATTCATTTGCTTCATTTAATATAATAGAAATAGAACCTAAACTTACTATTAATCAATTACTTGATGTTACTAAATTAAATGATGAAAAACAACAATTTATTAAAAATCAATTAATTCAACATCGCTCTTTATTGTTTGAATATTTCGCTATTACTATCACTGAAAATGGAGAAATTACAACACTTCCTGATATTCTTCCTGGATATTTACCAACTGCTTCTGCTTTTCCATTTTTTATTTCTTTATTTTCAGAAATAAAATGGGATGATGAGATAAGTTGTTTAAAAGAAATTGCAATAAATATTGGAAAATATTATTCAATTTTACCAACAGATATGTCAGTAATAGATTTAAATAAAATGGTTGAACATTTATTATTGCCATATATTAAAACAATGTTAATCCCACAACAATCATATGAGAATGTTGTTATTACTCATATTGCAGATATAGCCAAATTATATCATGTATTTGAAAGATGTTAATTTAAATAAATCTTATTTTATTATTATTTTATTAATAAAATATTGAAGTAAAACACTGGTAATACAGCATATGATGATGAAATCTAACAATAATTTGAATATTGTAACTTCTTAAAACAACAAAAACAAAACAATAAAAACCTGAGTAGACAAGTAAATATCATCAAGTAAAAAGTTTTTTTATTTTATTTTTTATTAGCTAATAAAACACGTTGATGGCGACATAAAAAATTGTTGACAAAAATAGGAAATGACAAAATAAAAAGAAGAATTAAAAGAAACAAAAAAAAACGAGTTAATTGTGGTGATCCCACATGCAACCACCGTATAATCCATTCAATTTTCACAATAAACATGACTGTGAAAATGATGTTGTAATTCGGTCATGTGGAAAACCCATTCAAACTAATTTAAACCATTTACTTGAAAAGAATGAATTAAGGAAAATGAGTATTGAAGAATTTAATGAATATAAGAATAAATTAACTGGCTTTAGAAAATTAGAAAATGAAGAAGAATTTATTTTGAAAGGAATTGAGCGGAAGTTGAAATCTTTAGAATCATTAAAGAAATGTAGGAAGAAAAAGAAAATCGAATTAGAATTGATGTCAAAAGAAATTATTGAAATTAAAGAAAAAACAGTGGAATTAAAAAAACAAAATGAGTCAATTACACAGGTTCTATGTGACTGTCAAAATTGTAATAAACATTTGACTAAAATACCTTTGAATTGATTTTTTCTTTTCTTTTTCAAATAATTAATAATTTAAAAAATTAAAACTAAAAAAAATTAAAACTAAAAAAAATTAAAACTAAAAAAAAGAACTATATAATTATAAAATAAAATAAAAAGTTCATATAAAAAATATGAAACTTTATTTTATTTTAAATTAATTTTTATTTAGTTTGTTTTTAATGAAAATAATGAAGAAGATTGTTGTTCAGAAGATAACAATTTATGTAGAATTGGATTATTTCTTTGAATGGTAATAGAATTGTTATTACATACAAGAGTAAATAAATATTTGTTAATAGCTTTTCCTTTTTTAGTGATTTCATCAATATTCATTACATAATTATCTTTATATATTTTTTGAATTCTTTCTAGTTGTAACGTTTGTTTAGATTTTCTTGAATATTTGGATTCAAACAAATATCCCAATTCAAGACAAACATCAATTAAGAAATTATTTATAAATATTCTTTTTTTCTTTTCATAGTTTCTAACACAAGTCTCTTCTTTAATACCTTTTTGTATATCAGTAATAAATGAATTTGCATATATACTCTCTGAAAGTCTCTTTACATTAATCTCTTCTGTCCCAATGGTTAATTTTATTAATCGTGGATTATTCAATGTAACTGTAGATAATTTTGTTGGTAATTCCAATGTAAATTCACAATATTTATTTAATAAAGCAAGAAGGATACTTTGTTGAATTGATTCAAAACTTTTTAATTCATTTTTTTGTTTTAAATATTTCTTACAAACAGCATCATTTCTATTCTTTAAACCTTTTTCAATTATTACATTATTATTAGAGGAATTATTTATAAATATTTGTGTAGATGAATCTTCACCAATTGGTGAAGGTGTAAGATGTTTAGTTTCCATTAAAATTGTGTTTAGGTCTTTTAGTTCTTCATTACTATTTAAAGTGATAATCTTTTTTTTTCTTTCATTTCTATTAATCTCATCAAATCTTTCTCTTTGTCAAAATGTTATCTTAACTCTCTTTTTCTTTTCTCTTTCTTCCTTTTATCTACCAATCCTTAAAGTTCTTTAAACTCACTATTTTAGGATTATTTTTCATACGAAAAAAAAAATATGATTTTTCTATACCTTTGAAATTTTCTATGGATCTAATAAAATTTTTTATTACTCTTATTCATTTTTTTTTTAGTTCATTACCTGTACTTTTAAGTTTTTTGATTTGTTCTTTACTACTTTCTATCATCAAAGAAATTCAATAACTTTTTAATTCTTTTTAATTATCAAAATTTAAAAAGTCTTTTTTTTTTAGTAATTATTAGTTTAGTTTTTTAAAAGTAACGACATCGAACAACTTATTTTGTTAATAGTCATTACCTTTTTCTTTTCAAATAAAATTTTTTTATTTTTTAAATTGAATAGAAAATTTTTTTTAATTTTTATTTTATCAATTAATGAGTCTTATTTGTTGAATAAAAAGAATGAAATTATGAAATTAAATAAATATTTAATAAGAATATAAATATATTAATTGAATAAATAAATATTTTTATACTATAAATATATTTTTATTTTTATGAGTCATTTAGACATAATTCAAATATTTTAAAAATGATATTAAAAAAAAAGAAAACTATCTAAATATTAGTAATAATAATTAAGAAAGATTTATTATTTTTAATACGTGTATAAAGTTATAAAAACTAATACTAGAGGTAATAATTCTCAATTTTTTTCTTCTAAATATGTATAAGAATAAAAAAAAATTAAAATAAACAAGAATATATATAATCTATTTTATAAATAGAATAGATATAGAAATCAAAAAACAGTGATCTAAAACTCTTTTATTGTAGAGAAATGCAATCATTCGGTCACACAAGTGAAGGGAAAGAAATAGAAAAAACAGAAAAAAGTATAAAAAAGAAAATACAAACCAGACTATTTAGGCCACTTATAACTATTCCTTCAAGTAAAAAGAATAGCTTTGTCTTTGAAGATCCTATTGATGATGAAGACTCTGTTGTTATGATAGTGAAACAACCAAAAGCAGCAAAAGGACATTCTGCTAATGCTATCAAAGAAAGACAAATAAAAAATGAAATGTGCTTCCAAGCTGCTGTTTCTCTTGCTCTTCTTCATCCATTTTGTGGATTTACAATTCGTAGACCAATTAAAGCATCTACAGCAACAAATTCAATGTCACTTGTTACTCATATTCATTATAGAAGTGATACAATAGATCTTTTACAACTTTCATCAACATGTTGTAATTTATTATACTCAAAAACTGAAGAAAAGCAATTAGAGAGTATTGCTATTAGAAGAAGAATGAATAAAAGTGTTATATTCTTCATTTTGAATTATTTACTTGATCTTTTAAGAGAATTTGGATTCTTCTTTGACTCAATTTATGCTAAAAAGACTTGTAAAACACTTCAACAAGAACGGGTTATTAGAATTTATTTTAATAATAAACTCCTTTTTTCAAAAGATGAAATTCAACGTTACGGAAAGGTAATTAATGATTATTTATTTCATCTTGCTGATAAACAAACATCAGCATATGTCGATAAAAATGATTTAAAATTTGAACAATATATGGAAGCAAATATTCCATCTTTTTATCAAAAACTAGAATCTCTCTTTCGGTAAGTTGTAATTCTTTGTTTTAAACCCCTTTAGTTTAAATTCTTTTTATGTTGTAATTCCTTTTATTTTTTTTTAAATTTTGTGAGGAATAACTTTATTGAATATATTAATATTCAAATATTTAATTTAATTTTATATCGTTTTGTTATTTAATAAAAGAAATTCACCAACTTTCGATTACCCCCTATCTCTATAAAAATAGATTTATAATTTAAAAAAAAAAACAGTCAAATAAATGAAAAAACATTTATTATAATAACTTTTTGGTTATATAACAAAAAATATAATAATTTCGTTATTTTAAAAATAAAGTATTGTTATATATTACAATAAAAAAAAACATAAAAAAGACATAAACAACACTTAAAATTCGAGTGATAGTTTCAAGATTTATGTGTTGTGGTAGTTATTCTTGATAAAACCATTTTTGTATGAAGAAAAATAAAAATAGACATGAAATTTTAAAATCTTGTCTAATAAGAAGAGAAAAAAACAATCATTGACTCCTAAAAAAAAAACAAAACATTCTCAAACTGACTTGATTTTGTATATTCTATATTTTCAAGTAAAATCATAGAAATCAAAAGAAAAAAAAAAATTAAAATAAATTAATTTTTTAATAAAAATATTAAACAAAATAATAAATAACAATAGTACCACCAATTGACCCAAAACTCTTTGAGACAGATTAATCTGAGAAAGAATTTTCTATCTCTATTCCCGAAATTTTATGCTATTAAAGCTCATCTGTTTTTTATCTTATTTACCACTTTCCAATGCAAACACCACAACAAGTTCTTGTTTCTCCTACTTATGTTGCACTTCCACAATATCAACAACCAGTTTATATAGAAAGTAAACCATCACCACAACAAACTGTTCATTCAGTAATTTCTATTCCAGTACCTGTTGTTCCACAAACTAATAAAGAAAATGAAATTAATGATACTGCCGCAAATATTTCTTTATTATTTATTATTATTGGATTTTTCTTTCCATTAGTTTGGATTATTAATTATGTTCTTTTCAGTAATAGTAAAGATAAACGTGCTTCTTTATTTGCTCGATTATCGTTGTCTATGTTTGCTCTTGGAATTATCTTTTGTGCTCTTCTTATTTGTTTCATGGTAATATTTTAAGATTAACTTTTTATTGCATGTTATATATTCATTAATTACTCTTCTCTTATTGTTTATTTTATTTCATAAGATAAATCCTTCAAATATTAACAAAAAATTCAATTTTCTTTTTAATATAATCTTATTTTAAAAATTAATTTTACTTGAATCATATTCAAACTTTTATTATATTAATTTAACATTAAAAATTTGTTCTAAATCAATAATATTTTCGTATATTTTTATATAATCTGTATAAATGTTATAGACAGGAATTAAAATATGTGCTTTACATTGTTTTATTCATAATAGAGTTTGATGATAAAGAGAGAATATAAATATTCTGAATTAAGTATAAGTAATATTGTATTACTTAGTGTTAATATAATTTAATTGTTTGTAACATTCTTATTGAATATTTATATATTAAAATCCATTTATTGATAATATTATTTATTACTTCTCTTTGTTCTCTAATTTATACTAATTTATACTAAATTTCTTTATATTTATCTTATTTATTTAATTTAAGACGAAGGGATAGGATTAGTCTCCCTTGATTCAGAAACAATGGAAATTAGTTTTATTAACACTTAATTAATTGATTATTACTCATTTGCTTAATTTCATGTATTAATTTTATAATGTCAAATATGTCATTTTTATCTACTATATTTTGGTTTGTGCGTTTAATATTCTTTTATAAAATGGTTGAACTATAATTGAATTATACTATTATTATATAATAAAATACTAATGCTAATATAATAAATCTTAAAAATATTTCGTTTAAACCTCTTTATCTTTATTTATTGTTTAATTTTCTATTTGTGTAATATTCTTTTTAATTTCAATATGGAAATTAATTACCATAAGAAAACTATCATCACAACATTATAGTATGAAATATTTCATTCATTTTTCACCCTCATAAATACTTTAACAATAATTCCAATAGAAACAAACAATAATCGTCAAAACATAAAAAAAATTAATATTTTAGATTTTCAATTTTGATACTATAATAGAAAACGAATAATATAAACATCAAGTAATGGAAATGAGACATATAACAGAAATAGAGCATAATGAAGAAATTGAAATAAAAATATTTCTCAATATGAAGAAAACCAAATTGTTGCTATATCTATTAATTAACCATTTTTTTCTTTAAAACACAATAATTGTAAAAATAAATAAATTTTATTCAATTGAATGTTTTATAACACGTTTATTTAAAAATTTATCTAAAGGTAGTAGTTATTTTTAACTTTAATATAGGAGAAAATAACAATTCTAGAAAGAAAAAAAAAATCGTGTAATAAAAATATCAATGAATTAAATTAATTACTCCTCTTTTTTTTTTATCATTTAATTTTATTTGTATATTTACATAAAATCTAAAAAAGTTAATGAAATTGTAATATTTACATTCATTTATCATTGAAATTTCTAACCAAATTTATTCCTATCTCTCTATTAATAAATAAATTTTTTGGAGTAATAATTTAATGTAAAAGTAAATAATGATTTAATATAATTGTAAGAAACTTTTTAAACGCCTTTGTTCTAATCTATTTTTAGAAAGACATATAACATTTTTGAAAACTGACAACTGAGTTATTAGTTAACAATGGGAAATCAATCAAGTATTCATTATTCCATTAGGTCAAGCCGTTCTGGATCAATTTCTAATCCAAAAGAATTTAGGCCTATTGGAAGAATTGAGTCAAAACATTCTCATCAAAATGTTTTGAATGAAGAATACTTAAATGGTAATTCAGCTATTTGTTTTGCAACACCAAGAAGAGATCTTCGGTCTAATTCAATGGGGAAAAAAAATAAAAGTTCTTGTCTAAGTGGGGATTTATCATATCCAATACAGCCAATTGGACGTTCATCATCATTTTCAAAGGCACATTATTTAAAAGAAAATGATTTAGAAGTTCATGTCTTATCTCCAAAACAAAGTGATACTCCAATATTAATAACAAAAGACGATTTAAGATCACCTAAAAAAAATAAAAAATTTTTAGTTCCTACTCTTTCTATTCCTATCAATACAAATAATAGAAGTCAACAATCTCATTCTCCTCGTTCATTATTTTCTCCTATCTCTATTCTTTCACCAAAGACATTGTTTAGTCCAAGAACTCCTAAAAGTTTAAGATCATCAGGAACTAATTCTCCAGTAGAACTATGTGAAGGTCTTTCTTTTGAAGAAAAAGCAGAGTTTTTTGTTAATGAACTTGGATTTAATGATTTTAAAATTATTTATGATAGTTATGTTGAAGAATTAGATACAAGAACATTTAATGAATATGTACTATATCAACCAAATATTATTCTTATTCTTATTCTTGATGATTGTCAATTTGGTGTATATCAAAATCAACCATTAATAAATAATAAATATACATCTTTTATTAATGACTCAGATAATTGTATCATTTTTTCATTTAAAGCTAATAAAAAAGAGCCAATTATAATAACACGAAAAAGCCTTGAAACTAAAACTATTACAACATATCCAAATACTGAAAAACAATTCATTTTTACCATGTATTCTGCATTTTGGTTAACAACAGATGGTAAAGTTACTTTTCATCAAATGATTAGAAAGTCATATTCAATTCAACCCCAAGTTTTAAATCCTTTTCATGAAAAGACTTTATCAGAAAAAAGTAATTGCAATAGATTAGTTGTTTTAAAATTACTTGAAGAAGAAAAATATTTGTAATTCACTTCATTTATTATTATATAATTTCTAGTAAATACAATATAACCACAAGTTAAATAGTATATTTAAATTATTTAATGATTATGATCTATTACTTTTGATCCAAAATCTTTTCCCCAATTAAAACATTCTATTTCTTGTTCTTTTGTTGGTCTAAACCGAATTGATAATGGCTTATTAACTTCTTTTACTTTAAGTTGTTGAATCCTTGGTATTAAATTTTTCACACCTTCCCCACTCCATCCAAATGACCCAAAACATTGAATAAGTCTATTATTATGCATAAATGGATTCAGATGTCCAAGTAAATCATAAAAAGGAGGTGTTGCGTCTCCAACAATCGTTGGTGATCCAAGTAAAAGTCCTTTAGCATCTTTAAAATCTTTCAGAATTTCTGTAATTGTTGTATTTACAATATTATAAACTATAACTTCAACTCCAGTAGATTTGATTCCTTCAACAATTTTATTTGTCATAATTTTAGTATATCCATAAGCAGAACCATAAACAACTATTACTTTATTTTTTAACATTTGTGGTTGACTCCATTCTTTATATTTTTCAATTATTTTTTTAATATCTTTCCTAATTATTAATCCATGACTACAACAAATTACTTGTAGCTCTTCAACAGGAAATCCCATTTGTGTTTCAACTAATTGAACTCCTTTTAATACACTAGACTTGAATGGAGACATAACGGCATCAAAATAATGTCTATATAATTTCTCAAAGATATGTTCCTTTCCTTCAATTTGGTCATCAAATAATTTTGGTTCTGCGTAATGAACAGCAAAAAAGTCACATGGAAGTAATATTTTTAACTCTTCTATTACGGTCATCATTGTATCTGGCCAATGAAGAAATGGTTGAATTAAAAATTTAAGATGATACTCTCCAACTTGCAGACTTTTTAATTTAATTGAACAAACTGTTTTCACTTCTGGAGAAAGATGACTAATAAATTTTAAATTATTAAGAGCAGCAACTGTTGCAATAATTGTTGCATTTGGATATTTTTCAAGAATATGATTTAATGAACCACTATGATCTGGTTCTGTGTGGTTAAGAATAATATAATTAATCTGTCCTTTTTTACCAATTACATTTTCTATTCTTTCTAAATGTTCTTGGTAGAATGGTTCTTTTACTGTTTCAAATAATACATTTCCGTCGTTAGTTGTTAACAAAAACGAATTATAAGTTGTTCCAAAAGGGGTTGGGACAATAACATCAAATGTTCTGAGGTCAAAATCAAAAACACCTACCCAATATAAATTATCTACTACTTTAACAGCTAAATTCTGCATTTCAGAATTTCTATTTTTTCCAATTCAATATGTTGATTAAATAACACAATTATTTCGTGATTATTTATCATTTATCTGTTTGAAAAGTCAGTCTGAGTTTTTTAAGAATTTAAAAACTAAAAATATATCAACGACCAAACTGTGTAGAAAATGCCAAGAAAAGTTTCACTAAGATGAAATTTCTTAATATTTTTCAAATGAAAAGAGGAAGTTGGTTTTGAGACAGTGTTTTCCTCAAACATTAAAAAGCATAGATTATTCATACCACAATCATCCAACTTAAGGAAATAATGAATTAACCAAGAAAAGAAAATTCATAATCATAAGAAAGTCGTACCTTTTTGTTGTTTTTTTTTGGATTGTCTAATCATTTCCCATACTAATAAAAAAAAAAATTTATTTATTTAAGAGACGTGTTGGTTAAAGAAAAAAAGAAACAAAAATCATTTTAAAACGAATTGGATATTATTCTTTTAATCAAAAAGTAAAAGCTTAACGAATCTGGTTTTTATTTTTTCGTAATATCTTTACACATCAAAAAAATATGAAAAATTAACTAAATAGATGTTTTTTCAGTCATATAGAACTCAATTTTATTAATCAATTCAGATATTATTAATGGAAACAACTCAATCAGCCTTTAAGCCAGTAAGAGATCTTGACAAATTTGAATTCTTTGTAGGATATGAAAGAGTAGAATCAACTTGTTGTTGTCAATCATCAAGTCATGAAGATGAGATTAAGTTATTTAGAAATAAAAGGTGGACTATGGAACAAAAATTAGTTGCTGTTCGAACAGCAAAAAAGATGGGAATGTCAAAAGCAATTAACTTTTTACAGAAAACAAATCCAAATGAGTTTTCTAAATTATCAATATCAACATTAAAATATTGGGTAGAACAATCAAATGGAAGAAAAAAAAGGTATTATGATTAAACATTTTAATAGACATAATACTCTTTGTAGTTGATTGTTATAGTCATTCTATTGTATGCTCTCTAATTTCATTTTTTTTTTTAAGGATTTAAATATATATTTGAATATTTCTTCAATTAATAGTTTCTGAACAAACATCTTATTCCTTCTTCCTTCTATATTCTTTTTATCGAAATTAATTTTTCACCCTATTTTTAAGTTAATAGTATCATTATTATTTTAATACAATTATAAATACAAATTTTATATGAATTTCTTTTTAATAACAATATTCTCTTTTTATGTTATAAAAAAATAATTAAATAATTAATGAAGAAAAGTTAAAATTAATTAAGTGTTAATGGAATTCGTTTCTATTGTTTCTTATTCATTTGAGACTAATTACACTAATGATTTCTTTTCTAACATCACTACAGAATATGTTTGATTGTGTTAGAGTTAATATCCATTTATATTATTCATATTTTTATTAACAAAGTTTTTAACTTCTTTTATAATGTCAATTTTCATTTTTATTTCTTTAATTAGTCTAATACTTTCTGTTTTTATTATTCCATTGTTTCTATTTATTATTTCAATTTATTTTAACATTCCTTATTTCTCTATTTTCTTTTTTCTTTATTTCTTTATATCTATTCTTTTTCTTCATTTATCTTCATTCTTATTATGATATGAAATATTATTCATATCATTCATTAGATTATTTTTATTCTTATTTCTTTGTTTTGTTGTATTTTCATTGTACTTTGTTTGTTATTTATTATTCTTGCAATTTTACATCTATCATTCATTTCTTTAATTGAATTTTGTTTTTAATTTCTTCTTCATTTATTTTAATGTCTTTTTCTTCAATTTCTTTTGTATTTTCTTTAAATTCTTCTTTTGTGTTTTCAATTATCTTTTTCTTTCTAATTGCATATACTTCTTAAAGAATATCATACCATCTTTTCCTTTTATCTTCTTATTTCTTGTGTATTTCTGAATATTCTCCTTTATTCCATTCACTTCTTATTCTTTTTATTCTTTCTTGTATCTCATTTATTGTTATTCATTTATATTTGTTATTTGTTTAGTCTTTATTATTATTGTATTTACTTTGTTTTTTATTTGTTTTTCTTTGTGTCTTTCATCTTCTAATATCTCATTTTCCTTGGTATTTCATTTACCATTATTATTATGCCATTTATTGCTATTAACATTTAATTTTTTATTGTATGATCTTAGATTTCTATGTCTTGTTTTTTTCTTTACAAGAACCAAAAGTTTGACACAATAACCATGGCATTAAAATTTGTTGTATTTTCTGAATTGGAAAAAGACGTTTTATTGAAAAAAAGGAAAGATGAAGAAAACAAATAAATAAAAGAAGTTAATTACGTAAATTATAATATTATAATACACAAGGGACATTATAAAAAGAGTTAATTCCAATTATTTTTAAATTAGGAGGTAATGATACACTAGTTAAAGAAGTACAACCAGAGAAACAATTATTACCAATTTTTGATACAGAAGAAGGAATAAAAATGGCGTCAAGAGACGAGTCATTTAAAAAACAATTGTCTTCAATTTCTTTAATTCCATATTCTATTTGTCTTCCATAATGTTGAGTATCATAAAAAGTAAAAATTTTATTAACACAAATAACGTTATTGTTATTATCTTCTATTAAATGACTAATATATTGAGATACAAATGCATCAATTCTTCCTTTTCCTATAATTTTAATACTTTTTAGTGATTCTATAACATTTAATTGATCACATAAACTATTAGCAATTTGTAATGGAAATGAAATACTTTCTAATGACGTACAATCAAAAAGTGCATTACTTCCAATATAAACAACATTTGTGGGAATTTCTAAATGTTTTAATCCAATACATCCACTAAAACAACCAACTCCAATATTTGTTAATCTATTACTTAGTTCAATTCTTGTTAAATTAAAACAATTAAAAAAAACATAATTCCCAATGTCAATAATATGAAAAGGTAATGTTATTGTTTTTAATGCTAAATTTTGTGAAAAAGAATTATCTCCAATATGAGTAATATCTTTACAATGAAATAATTGTTCTATTGTATTTTCATTTCCATTATATTCTATATGACTGAAATTAAATTTTATTGTTTTATGTTTACGAATTAGTATTTGTTGTTCTTTATATGTTATTGGATAACATATTTGTACTTGATTAATACCTTTTATAAATGGGTCAAATGATGAATAAAGAAATAGTGTTTGAATGAAAGGAAATAATGTCAATGATTGAATACTGATTGGATTAAATCTCAATCTATCTAAATTCCTTTTATACTTAGAATTAACACAAATAACATTTATAAAATCACTTTCATATTCTAAGTATTTCATTACAATAAGCATTGAATATCCATCTACTTTATTCTTGATATTGTTCATTTTCTCCTTTTTTCTGATTTTTTTTTTCTTGTTCTTTTTTTTAAAAAAAAATTGTTAAAAAAAAGAGAAAGAAATTACAAAATTACTAATAAGAAAAAAGATTTCAAATAGCTTGATTTTAGTTGTATAATTCAAATAAATAATGTTATTATTTATATTAATTTTATTTGGTTATTAATAAAGTTGATGTTAATTTTGATTCAATAAAATATAATTTTGTTTATATCTATAATCTTGTCATTTTTAAGTGCCAATATTGATTTAAAGATTGATTGGAATTATTATACTTATCAATACTATGAGATAATCTGACGTGACATTATAATTAGTTTGTTGTAAATAATAGTTATATTATTTTAAATAATTTTATTATTATCGTCCTTTATGATTATTAATACTATAATTCTTCTTTTTGTTATTTATATTCATTGAAATAAAAACAGTCATTATTAATGAAACTAAAAATTACTATTTTTTATTAAAGATTTTATTAAATATAATATTAGCACTTTTTTATTTTAAAAAATATTAGAAATGACTTATTTTAATTCAGATAAATGGTGTTACTCTTACTCTTTTTGATGTTTATACTCAACCTCTTCTTTTATTCTGTTAAGTAATTTAAAAGAACTAGAAAAATTATAAACTTTATTTTAAGATGAAGTTAATAGAAAATATTTTATCATTGGTTAATAAGTCTTATTAAAATTGAATAACCATTAATATAACTCTTGATGATATGTTTTTAACTCTACTGAATTTTCAATAATAAAATAAAAATTTTATTTGTTTAATAAAATTTATATTATAAATTCTTTTATTGAAAAATCAAATTGACTCGTTTGAATTACTGAGTTTTCTATCTTTCCAACTTCCATACATTAGTTTTTTATCAATTCAAAAAATCAAACTATAAAAGAATTTATTTTATTAATTAGTTTTACTACAAATTAGAATTTAAAAAAAAATATTTATACAGAGGATAAAATAAATAAGAAAAGGTAAATGGATATGATAAACAGATAAGTCTGATACTTACTAATGAAATATAAATATCTAAAATTGTTCAATACAAAATAAAAAATAAGGATTTAATAGAGCAACTCAATATAACAAGACAGTTGATAAAATAGGTTAATGGAATTTAAGTATTTTTATGAAATACATGAGGATATTTTATGAATAAAAATTAATATAATTCATCAACTCTTTCGTTAAAGAGTAATGCATTTGTGTGGTTTTTATTCAATAAGTACATTAGATAATGATAAACTAAAATCTAATATAAAAGATAATTCTTAAATTTCCTTAGAAAAAAAAAGAATTAAGTTCATTAATTTCAATTAATAGTTCAAAAGAATAAAAGAAATTATTAAAAAGAAATAATTATTTCTACTAATACTATATTTGAGTTGTAATAGTCATTTTTAAGTTTTAGAACTTAAAAATTAATAAAATTAATTCGATTGAAAACTCGAAGGTTAAGAAAAAAAAAAGAAAAGGGTTAAGAAACAATACTTTTTAATTTTAATTATTAAAGAAAAAGTTAACTTTTAGTTGAATTTTATTACGATTTTTTTAAAGATCTTAAATAAGATCCAGTTTATCAAAAAAATTAACAGTCTCATGGCATCACATCCATTGACTATTACTGTTTCTTTAAATGAACTACTCAATATGAAAGAAAATATGTTAACATTACAAATAATTCAAAAAGAAAATCAACAGCTTTTAAAAATATATTCAGAAAGAAAACGTTCATGTGAAAAATATCAAAGTGAATGGGAAAATGTAATAAAGAAATATGAAGAGTCAATGTTAAAATTAACAACACTTGAAAAACAAAAAGAAATTTTTGATAACAAAATTAAAATGGCTGATGAATGTTATCGTGATATTTTAAAAACAGAAGAAAAAGAATTAAACGAAAATATAAAAAGTGAAGAAGAAAGATATTATCCATTTGATGATAAAGAAGATGATACTGTTCTTGAATATTTTGGTTGTGAATCAGAAGAAGAAAAAAGACAACCTCCAACGATTAAAGAAAAGAAATATAATAGACAAAAATCTATTAAAACACCAAAACCAATTAAAATACCAAAAACAAAAAGAAATAAAACAACAGATACTCCAAAGAAAAGACAAACTAAAACACAAACAGAAAAAAGAAATTCTCTTACTCGTAAAAGAAAAAAACTATTTTATGAAAAATTTAAAAGTAATGCTCTTAGTGAAACAGAAGATCTTAAAGTCTCTTCAATACATTTTGGAGATAAAGATAACATGTTTTCAGTTAGTTATAAAAATATTCTTGATATTATTTTAGAAAGAATTCAACAACAAAAATCAATACCTATTATTGATAATCAACCAGCAATTAAAATTAAAGAAATATTTGATGCATTTTGTTTTGGAAATGCAGATATTCAAAATATCCTTATTACTTGTCAAGAAAGTCAATTAGTTGTTAAAAAAAAAATACTTCAAGACTTTATTAAATGTATTGAAACACTTCAATTCGAAAGAACAGTTTTTCATTTTAATTGTCTCTTTCAACTTTCAAAAACTAATTCTTCTTACTTATTGATTGTTGGTTGTGACATTGATTAATTGATATAAATAAACTAAACGTCATATCTTCTTTGTTTTTATAATTTAATTTCTTTTTTTTTTTTTCTAATTTTTCTTTTCTTCTTTTTATTAAATGATGTTTAATCCTTTTTTTTTCTTTATAAACTTTATTCTTCGATCTGTTTTACTCATTCAAAGATGTCTTCTGGTTCTACCAATTCTTATCTTAACAATAGTAATGGTCCTGAATTAGTATATGTAACTAAAATCCCTGAAATTAAAAGAATGAATTATCCTAATTTCTCATTAACTATAACCCCTCCTAATTCAGACATCCCTAAAATACTTCCTTTAGTTACAAATATTGTTCCTATAATCCACAGTGATGCTCAACATGACTTTAATGGAAATACTAATACCAGAAGTGCTATAAAACCATTTAATATTACACCAAATATACAATCAATACAATCAATAGAACCAATAGACCTAATACAACCAATACAACCACTTTTGGTTTCTAATCCCCATCCAAAATTGAACAGTGATGCTCAACATGACTTTAATGGAAATACTAATACCAGAAGTGTTATAAAACCATTTAATATTACACCAAATATACAATCAATACAATCAATAGAACCAATACAACCAATACAACCACCTTTGGTTTCTAATCCCCATCCAAAATTGAACAGTGAAAATACTTCTAAAAGAAGAAGTAAAGATAACAAAGGAGATTTAGACTCTAGTGAAACTAGTTCTGAACCCCAAAAAGATCACGACAAACAACTCACCAGTTCACATAAAAAAGATAAATCCGAACAGAAGAGTGATAATGAAAATATTAAAATTAAGTGTATGTTTTCTGATTTAAAAGATGATAATGAAATATTTAAGGATGAAGTAATTACATTAACACAAAAGATCTTTAAAAAACATGATTTAAGACTTAACAAAGAAAAGCTAAAAACACTCTACGAGTTTAATAACCAATCAAGTTTGTTATCAGCATCAGTTATTCAAAATATATTATATAACAAAACTAATGTTATGTTTTATTTTATGACAGAACAAAATCTTTATGGTGCCTATTTTTCAAAGTTTGGCAGTAAACCAAATGATGATAAGTGGATGGATGACGAAAAGTATAGAATTTATTCTATCTTCAGAAATAAGCAATTCCATTTACAAGAATGGAAGAGAAAAGAGTTTCAAGACCCAGATGATACTTCAAAAAATATACTTCATGCCTATGGACTTTTCACTCCATTAAACACAGAAAAAGAGGTTATTCAAACATATTGTGGAATTGTAGTTAATAAAGACAAAAGTATGCAATGGGATGATAATTTCGATGATTATTATGAATGTACTGAAAGTAAAAATCCATTCTTTAATACAAAAGACAATAGAAACGAGAAAATAGTGAAAATTATCATTATTGGACAGGCATAAGTGAAAATTCTACTTTTTAATCCTTTTTTTTTAACATTTTAAAGGAAAGTAATGTTATGAAGTAAACATTCAATTAGGTTGTTCTGAGTTAAGTATATCTACCATTGAAAAAGCACGATACCCAGCTCTTCTTTTTTTATCTTTTTCAGGATCTCTTTTTTTCATTAGTTGTGAGTCTTTAGCAGATATTTTACAGTCGTCTAGTTGATTGTTATCTTTTACCTTTTCTAAAGGTTCATCATTTAAGTCTTCTGTTTTATTTGAAGAATGTAATGAATTTTCTTTATATCCCTCTCTTGGACTTTGAGAATTTGAATTAATATGAAGTTCATTGCTTGAATGAACAGAATCATTTTGACTATCATCAATTCTATGTGGAATAATTCCTTTCAAAGACTCTTTTCTTCCAATTAATTGTTGTTGTTCACGTTTTCGAGGTGACACAGTAACAGGAAATTCTGTTATTTTTTCATCAAGAGTTAGTGGTGTTTTGTTATGACTTTTTTGAGGATCAGAAGTACGAGATGAAACAATTAAATGAGGTAAAGGAGTTGTCTTTAATGTAGAAGATAAAGTAGGCATTTGTTTATTTTGTTGAGGAGAAGAAATAGGTTTATTTGGTACTAAATAGTTGGTTGTTTTTGAAGGTGATAAAGGATGGAGAGGATGTTGAGAAGAGGGATGTTCTTCATTTGACTTATTAGAATGATGATTTGTTCCAATAAATAATTTTTTATCAAGTCTAGAAGTTACTTGAATAGTTTGACCAGGAAAAGAAGATAACTGAGAATTTTTTTTAGTAAAGATATTAATAATTGAAGAAGGGGTATTTAAAGCGTATTGAACTTCATCATTAAAGAATGAATAATCTTCATTAGTAAAGAAACAAGTTCTTTGATCATTATATACATTTGGTAATGAATATTGAGAAGATATTTTAATGTCATTAAGAAGATCAATATGATCAAGAATATATTGTAAAATAATATTTGCATTTGAAGTACTTGAAATACAAAAAGCCCATTCATCAAAATTAGCATTAGAATTAATAATAGTATAAGCTGCAAACATTCTCATCAAAGCAACAAAAATACCAGTAAGACAAGGTTGAATTTTTTTAATCCAATTAGTAATTAAAATCATTTTTTGTTGATCATTTTGTTGAGAGAATGAAATAAGGTCATGTTGATTTACCATAATAAAAAATGGCATACAACTTGTTTTTATATACAATTTTAATAATTCAATCATTTCATTAAAATTACCTTTAATACTACCATTATTAAATGAGTCAACAATATTCATTGTTAATTTAGTTGGAGGAATTTGTTTAAATATATTATTTTCAAAGAAATTATCGTGGGTATAAATATGTTGCATTAAAGATATAACTAAAGGAGGAACACCATTAACTAAATGTGTTTGATTAGGTTGAATACCAATTAAATAAGTAGAATACACTTTTGATTGTTTTTGTAATCGTTGCATTAAAGAAACAAGACTTTCAATATCACCATCTATTGGTAAAGGAGAATTATCACTAAAAGGAGTATCCATTTTCATTCCAGGGAATTTTTCATAATAATAAGCTCTTGATGAAGAAACAATAGTAAAATGAGTATAATCAACAGGACAACATCTTAATGATGTTCCAGATTGATAAATACAAACAAAATGATCAACCAAAATAATAACCAAAGGTTCAGAACAACGTTTAAAATCAAATCTATAATAAAAATAAGAACGTTGAAATCTATCTAAATCATCTGATAATTTAGTATGTCTTGAACAAAAGTAATTTAAAGGTAATAAATAATAACCAAGAGAATTATTTATATTTTGATCAATTCTATCTCTTTGATTAACAATACCAGAAATTCTATAATTTTCATCAAGTAATAATGGAATAAAAGGAAAAGGTTCCGACATATAAGAATTAATTAAAGGAAAAGAATGATATAAAGGTAATGATATATCAATTGGTAAAGAAATAAGTACATTTTGAGTATCATAATGAAATACAAAAGGAATTTTTTTAGGAGAATTAAAATTAACAAGAAATGAATCACCAAATACAGTTTGTAATTTTTTAACAGGATCATTAATATTAAGTAATCTATTTTCAAGTAATCCATTAGTCATAGCAACAGGAATTGAATTTCCGAATATTTCAAAAATAGTTTTTTCAGAAGGAATAACTTTTTCAATAATTTCACCATTTTCTGAAATTTTAATAGTAAAAGGATCAAGTGGTTCAATTAATTTAGAATATTCATAATTTTCATTTTCTTGATTTTCTCCATGAATATTTTCAATAAAATGTTTTAAAATAGGATAATGTGAAATAGAATAATGAATAGAATTTATTTTATCAAAATTACGAACAACACTACACATCTTTTTACATTTATCAAAATTAACTAAACCATTTTCAAAACGAGATAAATTACCATCAGAAATAAAAGTCATATCACTTAAATAAATTCCAATATAAGGAACACAAGGAATTTGTGATGATTGAATAATTTTATTTATTAAATTACGTAATATACTCCAATTATGTTCAGGAGATACAATAGAAAGTAAATTATCATATTTTGATTTAGTTTCATTATCTAATTTTGAAATAGTATTTTTTAATCTATAAATTGGTGATGTTAAAAATATTTGCATAATACATACTAAACTATCAAAATTATTTAATATTTTACAATGATTTGCAACATCAATTAAAAATTTAATAATTATTAATCTTTCTTCTTGTGTTTTACAATGAACTATTCTTTTTTGAAAGTACCATTGAAATCCATTATAATATTTAACAAGTGTTTGAATTGATTTACATGCATTTTTATCATTTGTCCATTTAAAAAATTCATATAATTTAATTTTTGAGAATGCTGTATGAATTATTAATGTCATTTGTCTTGCAAATTCTATTGCTGGAATATCAATTATATCTAATGGTTTTTCTAAATGCATTAAACAATTAAATGTTGGAATAGGTAATGGTGCATCTCTAATTGTTTGAACATATGTTGTTTCTGTTCCTGCAAGACGTTTTTCTAACATTGAACGAAGTAAATCTGCTTGTTTAGACATTTCATATTCTTCAAGTTTTTCACAAAATGATTGAAAAATTTGTTGAACTTCTATTTTATTTGATATTGCTCCCCAACATTCTATTAAAATATATCGAAGACCATTCATTATTCTAACCCTAACTTCTTGTGCTTTTTTTGAATCACTTTCACAACTTATTTCAAACCTATCAACTAATCCTAAAATCATTGCTGATGAACTCATAAACATTGTATGAGTCCACATAAATGTTTGCATAAACTCGGTTGAAGCTGAACAAATTTCATTTAATAATGCATCTTCATTTGCTGCACAAATTTGTCCATCTTTACGTATTGTTGTTGGGTCTTCTTTAAGTTTATTTATAAGAAATGAATCATCTAAATTATTCTTTTTTTCTGACAATATTTTTCTTTGTTTAATTTCTTCAATTTTATTATTATTTTTTATTTCATAGGAATGTGAGATTTGGGTTTCTTCATCACTTTCATCCATTGTATCAACAAAACTCAATGAACTAGCATCACTTTGGAATTGTTCTGGTTGATGTATTGATTCAAATGTTGTAATACGTTTATTTTGTTGTGTAGATAAAGAAGAAATGGTAATAGGAGGAGAAGAAGGTTTGTTCATAAATTATTTCTAGAAGAATAATTTATAGATTTTTTCAGATAAGAGAAATACTTTCATTTTTCTTTATTAATAAAAAAAAAAACATAAAAATTCAAATATTTTATTTTAATCAAAAAATTCCTTATACGTTTTATTTTATACTTTCCTTTTTCCTTTCTTGTATTTATATATTATTTAATTTTTTTTTTATTAAATACTTAATTTTTATATTTCTTTTCTATTTTACTATTAGTTTGTTTTTGCTGTATTAAATTCTTTTTAAGTATTTTTTTAATTTATTCTTTTTTATTAACTTCTTTTGATTGATTCATTTCAATTTTAAATTCGAAGATTCAATATTAGAAACATCACACAAATACCAAAACAAAGTTTATCTTCAATGTTCACTTAGTTACTATTTGATTATGATGATGTATTTAAATAAGAAATGTATCAATATTTATTCATTTTAGTATTTCATTTTGTTGATTTATTTATGTTTAGTCTACTCTTAAATGATTATTGTTGAAACCAAACAAGAACAAAATAAAATAGTAACACTAAATAACTATTAAATAATAAGAAAAATGAGGAAATGATAAAAATATATAACCTTATCACATGTTTAAGAAATAAAATAATGTCATTCATATTTTACTCATTTTTATTATCATTTATTTAATGATGATTTATTCTTTTATTATTTATCAATATTAGTTATTTCTTTGAGCCAATGAATTATTAATTTGCAATAACTTCCTACAATCATTTAATTAAATAGAACTTAATATGAACATCACATTAATGAATAAAATCAGAATTAGAGTTAAAGTTAAAGAAAGATTGAAGTATAGTTTATATTTGATTTTAGAAACAAAGAAGATAATAAGACTCAAAACAACAAATAAAAATAAAAGAAAATGAAAAATAAACAAAGAAAATAGAAGAAAAAAACAATAGTGTAAAGAAAAGATTAAGTGGAATAATACACATCAGAGAAGTATTTAATCAGAGATGAGAAACACTTTATGATGAAAGAAGATTAAAATTTAATTCACCTTATTTGTTAGTCATCAATTTCTTTTCTTTATTTCAATTGTGAATATTTATTATTCTTTATTCATAGTTTCTTTCTGTATTTTCATATATTGTTAATCCATTATTTACCATTCTTCTGCACTTCTAATATCTTGTTCATATTTATTTCTTTTATTCAAACTGTTCCAATTAACAATTCATTTCTTTCTTCTTGTATGTTTAGTTAGTGCTTTTCTTCATTATTATTGCTTTAGTAATAGAAATTATAAATGAAGATTAAATAATTTATGAAACAAAAAAATAAAATCTTTTCAACAGTTTTTACAAAAACGATAAAAGAGGCAAAAAGAAAAGTCATAAATTTCGAGATAATTCATAAAACCAATATTTTTGATTAAAAAACAAAAAAATTATCAACAAAAAAAAAAAAAAAATGGGTAAATGAAATGACAATTTTCTATATTATAATAATTAGACTTTTCAAACCAAAGCATTCACCAATTGGATTTGACCTTTTTTAAATGAATAAGAACCATTATGTTCTATAAATTGAAATAAATACGTGTTAAGTTCCTGACCTTTTTGAATGATTTCCTTTTTAGTTAATAATAATGAGTGTTGAGAAAAAATCTTTTGAATACGTTCAACTTGCATTGCCTTTCCACTTCTTCGAGAAAGAGTAGTATGAAATTGGAATCCAAATTCATCCAAAAGATCAATCAACAAATTTTGGACGAAAACTTTTTTATTTTTTTCCATTCTTCTTAAAGCAGTTGCTTCATTTAGTCCATTATTAATTTCATCAGATAATTTTGCTTTACATTGTCTTTCTACAAGAGAAGAAACATCAAGTATGTCTTCTTTACAAAATTTAATTTCTGATACTTTTGGAGATATTACAGTTACTTTAGATAATTTTGCTGGTCTTTCAAGTGTAATTTCACTATATTGATTTAATAATCCAATTAGAATAGCTTGTTGACACACTTCTAAATCTTTGTTTTCCTTTTTTTGTTTTAGATATTTAGGTGCATTCCATGGACGTTCAAATTTAGATTTTTCAGAAGAAGAGTCACTTGCTTGTATTATCCGACTCATTCTATTTGAATTAGATTCATTAGATTCATTAAATAGTCCTATCACTTATTTTTTAATTCAACAAATTCAATTGAGTTGAGATTATTCATAGGGATTAATGGGGTTATTAAATATTTCTCCTTATGTTTTAGGTTGTTACTATTCTATAGATTTGTTAGAAACTTCTTTTATCGAATTTTAGATATTGAATTTCTACTGGAAGCACAAAAACTGTTGCTAAAAATATTTTTTCATATCAATAACAACTAGATGATTGATTTGTTCGTCAAAAAAAAAGATAGAAAATATTATAATTAGACTAGGGTATCTATGTTATTCCAAAATTAAACCACTCCTTTGGTAGATTCTTCTTTTCAATTGGATATCAATAAAAACAATCCGTTATTGGGTTAGAAAAGTTGTTAATGAATTAACAATTTGTCAACTTTACTTTTTAAACTTTAATTATTCTTCTTTTATTATATTAAATAAATCTCTCAAAATTCTAAAGGTCTTAACAATAAACAGTTAGAATATACTATTTAACATTTTTATTAAAACTAATCCTTCACTACTGTTTGATTTGAAAAAAAAAAAAAAACGTTTTTTATATTTATTCAAAACTTTATAAACTTTATGAAATGAATATCCATTTAGGTTTTTTTTTTATTTTACATTACTTTAATTCCTTTTTCTTAATTCTTATAATTTCATTTCCAATAGATGAAACAAAGGTGCAATGATTTAAAGTTTTATAAAACATATTTAATTCTCTTTTCAATAAAAAATCTTTTTATTTTCTTTACTATGTTAATTGTATTAATTCATTGTTTTAAACATAATTAACTCTTCTTTTATATTTACTAATCTTAAACATACTTCATTTCTAATAAATTTATTAATTAATTTAATCATCAGGACAACCAATTAATGAGTTAGGAATTGGTATTTTCTAACTTTTTTTTTGTTCTTTTCTTTATTACATATGAAGTTTTTGATTTAATTTCTTGTAAATGAAGGAGGGATATAATCCATATTAGTTATATAATACCACACATTTATTATTTAATAAATTATGGTATAAAGATATGAACAACAATACATGAAATATATTTTTGGTTATTAGAGTTTTTTATTCAACATAAAATGAAGAAACAAAAAAAAAAACATAAAAATTATTTTGTTATTTTGAATTGGATATAAACAAAACAATGTCAAAAAAAAAATACTTTTTCTTTAAAACTACAAAAGAATGGATTGACTAATTCAAATTAAAATTAAATAATATTTTTTATCCCGTCTTACTTTTATTCTCTGTTAATAAATGTTGTGTAGAATTAAAACTTGTTAATACTGGATGACCATGACGAAAAATGAATGTTGTTATTCCTGTATTACCTAATTGGAATTTATGATACATAGTTGGTTCCATTTCCAACAATCCAAGAATTGAAGTTTTAATCCAAGCACCATGACTCACACAAACAATAGTTTTGTTTTCATTTTGTTTACATAAATCTAACAATAGTTGTGCATTCTTTTTAGACCATGAGGCAATACTCATTCCAGTAGAATCAAATGGACATCCATCCTCTCCTGAAAGGAATTTTTTATAATTTATATCTCCATTTAATTCTTCAAATGTATGTCCTTCCCATGTCCCAAATGGTATTTCTTTCATACCTTCAATTAAATGTACTTCTTTATCTCCTGCTATTTTTTGGGCTGTAATTAATGCACGATGTAATGGTGATGAATAAATAATATCAAAATTTCCTTTTATTTGTTGTGCAACTTCATTTGCTTGTTGAATTCCATTAGGTGTTAATTCAATATCTGTACATCCTTGGATTTTCCCTAATAAATTCCATTCTGTTTCACCATGTCTAATTAGAATTAACTTAGTCATTAAATAATGTTAATGAATAATATTTAATAGTTAGTAAGGGTTTGTAATATTTTTATTGAATGGTTTAATTCGTTAAAGCTAACTCAACTCATTCAAATTCTCTTTTTTTATGTCTCAATAACCAAAACTATCTTTTTTTTATTAAAGAAGTTAATAACTGTTTTATGTTACTTCTCAAATAAAAGAAATTGATGATGTAATAATAAATTAATTATTTCTTTGTCTTTATTTATCTTCTTTAATTCCTAATTCTTTAGCTGAAATAGAACCAAGTCCCATCCATCCTCTCATAGCATTAATAATAGCAGTGTCTCTATGTGTTCTAGTATAGTCAGATCCTCTCCATCCTTCAACAGTATATCCTCCTGCATCAGCAACATATGCTTGTCTTTTTGGAACTGATTTACATGATCCACACCATTCTCCTGTACATAATGAACAATCAGAAAATCCATCTGGAAATCCATCATTACCATTGGCTCCATCTATTAAAGTATAAGATGATAATAATAAACGATGTGTCCAATTTCTATCAGTTCTTGAGAATAATTGAACTTCAAATTGTCTATGTCGATCAATATCTTTTTCTTTAACTAATACAGATCCTTGGTCATGCATATCTCTTGATGATGATCCTGGTTTTTGTTGATCATGATCATCATTTTCAATAACCAATCGTTCATAATCACTATTTTCTTCACACTTACCCCATTCAGCTGGATACCATGATTGCCAAATTTTTATTTTCTTTATATCACTTTGACTTAATCCAACTTTACTTAACTGTTCGGTAAAATATTTAGAATATTGGTAATCACCATAATTGCACCATAACAAATCTCCTTCTCCTCCAAGAATTACTTCTAAATATGCCATAAAATCATCTGGAAGTGCTCCTCCCATATATGTTTTAACTTTTCCAAAGATTGCTGCAATATCGTCTGGTCTAATATGTTTAGCAGCGTCCATTCTCATTCCTGAAGCTCCTGCTCCAAGA